TGGGAGTCCAAGCCTCCAAGAAGGCTACCACAGCACCTCTGCTACACAAAAAAATTCAGAATAGAAGGCATGCCAAGAAAACAACCCCTCTATTTTAGTCAGGTTAAAAAAAGGTCAGTAAGATAAAGGAATGTTTACACTTGGAGAATACTAAAAAAACAAAATAAAAGGCAGAAACTGTGAGTCAGTGTTCATTTTGTTTGACGTTTCATGGACAGATCATGCCTTATTTACAAATTATAATAATAATATGGGTCTATTTCCTCCTTCCAGACATCAACGTTACAAGTCAGTGCTACTCTATTAGTCCACAATGGCCACTGACATCAAAAAATATCCATCTTCAGCTGGTTTTTCATCTAACTTTTGTTGGAAGAGCTGCTTATGTAAAATGAAGACTGTGTACTTATGTAAGATAATGTAACCAAAATATCAGCCCAGAAGATGCATTAGAAAATATTTTAGGCACATCCGAAAAATATCATGCAACAATAAAAACATTAAGAATTATTCATTATTTAATTTTGTTAAAACTCAATCTTTAATGTAAACGTCATCATTCATATCTATAATATCTAAGTTAGTTTTCCATGGTATATTTTTAAAATTGTATTAGTATATGAAAGCGATTTTTCCTAACACTATACTTACATAAGATAAACAAAGTACTTACACCACTCCCAGCATATCGAACAATAAATAATAGATTCTCCTGACAGGACTTTGATGACCTGGCAAAGCCCGAGTGCTTTCAGCCAAAATCATATGAAACCATAAATCACTCTTTATTTTATAGAATATTTCAAAATGGATTCCTGCTTTCTACCTTGAAAGTCATTTCATGTGTTATTTATAACCACTGAAAACCAGAATGGAAAGAAAATTGCATAGAACTAGAAAATTTACTGTGACTGCTTTTATAAAGAATAACTCCTTTTTAGAAAAAAATTAGAACTACTGGCAGACAAACTTGTGAATACAACCACTTTTTAAAGAGCCATATCCTTTATTTTACAACTTCACCAGCAGTTAATACAGGCCTTCTGGAGTATCAGAGAAAAGTTTAAGAAGTTAAGACTGAATATAACCCAATCAACTGAAGAAATTCAAAGATCAAGGATGACCCTGAATCCTTATCCACACCACTTATAAATATGCACAGTCATGTTTCAAATCTATGCACTTACAGTGTTTTCTGACATAAATTCAACATTGCTGAATGTTTCACCTATGAATTTTCCTGACAACTGCCAAAAGACAAAAGCCCTGACAGACTCCTAGCTCTGTGTCACTCTCAAATAGATGCCTATTCTTTGAGACAAGTATTTATAAAAAACCTCATAATGTTCCCTCCTGCTATAAATGTACTACCATATTAATACCTGCACTAATTTACAAGTTGACCCCACAAAATTTTATCAATAATGAACTCATTGAAATGAAAATTACTAATGTCCACCTTGAATTCCTCAAGCAAGCACTCATAACATACCTCCAAATCTAGAACTTACTTTCAGACAAATAAAAATCACTGCATATCACTTTCCAAAGAACAGACCTTCCAAAATACTAGAACTGCATTGAGGATTAAAGATATTGCATAGTATCTGCTTTGGCAGGGAATCACCCAATAAATCCACTCCTGTTTGGTTAGTGGGTAACTTGAACATAGAACTATATTCAAAAAGCAAGAAAGTAGGGAAGAGAAGCCCGGGCAGGAGGGAAGAGTGACTTCAATGCTGCAACAAAAAAGTGGGTAGAATGAAAGAGCAATGTCTGAACAGCTTTAACTCTCCTATCATGTTGCCTCAAAAACCTCAAGATATGCCCACCAGTTTTATATCATATGATAATCTAGTTTTATTTAGAACTATAGATATAAATTCCATGATAGTAGTGAACTTTTGCTGCTGACCCCACCAGGACTATTATTTTTGTATTACACACCCATCTTGCTCTAAACTTGCTTGTGCAAGAAAATGCTTAATAGGGTTTAAGGAAAAGCAGTTTCCTCAATAAGTAAATTTACTTTTCCCATAGAAATATTGATGAAGTAATTGAACCTAAGCATTAAAGGGAGCACTGATGACTAAAATTTAGTGAAAGGTTCCATTTTCATTAAGCTTACTACAGAGAAACAGTTAAATGAAATTCAAATCTAATGTTACCACTCAACCTAATTACTAAAATTAACGCACAAATTATAAAGCCAGAAAAAAGCCATACATGCAGAAAAGAATGCAATTACTACTATGCAATTAAGAACATCATCAACAGAAACATTCTAGTTATTACAATATAACAAATAAATATCCATAGGTACACTTAGTACTGGTTACAACATTAGAAAACAGAGAGTTAAAGAAAAAGCTAAGGTATTTCCTTAAGAGTCATTTTCAAGAAGAAAATACAGATGAAAGTTTTACCTCGAATCATCTTCCATGCTGAGTAATTTAATACAGATTTAAAAAAACCCAGTCATTCAACAGTGTTGGTCACGATTTATGTATGCCCTTGGCAAAAAGGAATGCAAAGAATAGACAAAATAATTCCTAAAATGCATAAGTCTGAAAATCTTGAAATTAGTTACAGCGGTACTCTCTACAGGTGGGCAAAAACACATCCTTTAATACAAATCCACACCACCACCACCAAATACAGCAGTATTTCAGAGGAAGAGTTTAGCTCAAAGAACAAGGACATTCCCCAACATCAAAGCCTTAATATTACAGGATCATTCCAAAGCAGAGAAGATTGTATTTAATGGGCGTTGCATGACCAACTCTCACTGGCACAGATAGTTCACCGAAAGTGTCTTTGCTGGTGAACTGCCAGTTTCAGGTGAATTCTAAGTGTGTCTGGGCCCACACCATCTCTTCCATCTGTGACATACTACCCCCCAAACTGCAGTCCTCTGCTGCAAGAAGCCCACTGTTATTTATTTAACACATGCCTCCAGCCAGCACAACGTATCATGGGCCACGAAAGACAGCACACAAGAGCAGGCTGCCAGCACTAAAGTGGTTCCCTTGGCCTGCACTCTGTGCCTCCGAGACCCCCCAGCACAAGGGTTGCCAGAGCAAGCTGGAGTACATTCTACCTTCATCAAAAGTTACAAAAACTCCAAAAGAAAAAATTGGCAGCACATTGCTACTCTTCTGTTGGACTCATGAAATGATGAAGTCTTATTTATGTAAGTTATAATCAGCTCTTTTAAAGAGGTAACACCTTCACTAGCTTCCTTAGTAGCTACAATAGCTATTCCTACTACTGTTTTCACCTTCTACTCTCCTTACCAGCTGGAATAGCTAAATAGCTTAACATAATACTAATGTTAGAAACCTGAATTTCCTCTAATTTTCTACACCACTGCATCATCTACATAAATACTGTTTTTCTCACGGCAGTAAACAATGAATTATCCCAAAAATCACAGAAGGTATGCAATTTTTAATATTTCACCCTTTTAGTTAGCCTTTCATTGAATCATTCTTCTCATACACTCAAAATATTCACAAATCTGAACATAAATGAAAATGTCAGACTCATTAGTTCTTAGTGGGTTAAGCATATAGAAGAGGTCTCTTAATTTGCTCAAGAACCTTAATTTTGTATTTTAATTAGAGTTACGGTCAACAATAGGGACAATATGTTTTTAGAACCTTTCACAAACTTCAGAACTAAATCAGAAACCCTTCGACCAATTATATACATATTGTAAGGGGATTACTTTTTCCTGGTAAAAACTGAAAACAGCAATTACATTAAGAAACTCATTTTATTCCAAATTGCTAGAAAAGTAGAAAATTGACAGATTAGTGAACTCAAAAAACACAGTTCCTGATTTCATAAGGAAAACAGTAACATTTAGAAGTATCTATGCTCCAACCAGCATCCTGAGCTAACCATGGGTGCTCTTCATAAATGCAAACAAAATTTGAGTGTCAATTTGGGACCTACAAACAGTAATGTATTTTGAACATTTTAAGACTAGAGCTCAACGCTGAATTTAAGGTGGGAGGGTTTATCAAGGCCAGGTCAAACCAGCCCACTGTCACTGGGTTCTACAAAACAGAAATCTATTTCAATACTTAACAATTATTATGATACGCAAGCAGCAAGTGTCTTAGTTCTGACAGAATATTCTAAAATTTGTCTTGTAGTTACAATGTTGTGGTATGTTTCAGTGAGACATTCAAGATCCACCACTATTCACCTGAGCAGGGAACAGGATAAACTTGTGTAGGATATAGAAAACACAGGTAGTTCCAGAAAGTTCAGAGCTAAGTCTCTGATGTGTCCAGTCATTCAACCTTATGTTTGTTCATCTACTGAGAAACATCCTTTAACGAGAAGGACTCAAAAAAACCAAAAGTTTTGGGTTACTTGTAAGCAGGCATAAAAATTAGAAAAAAACTTTGAAGGGATAAAAGTTCTTGTATTATATACCAAGATATAACAGAAAAATAAGTATTAACAGCATATACCATATATACTGCAACAGTATGGAATTTAGCTCTTCAGAACAATTTTCAGTGCATAAAAGTAAACTCAAGCAGCAGGAGAGTATTTCAGAGGAACGGGAGGCCAAGGCTGGCAGGCTCAACAAGGCTTTATGAAGCACCAAGTGAGCACTCGATCTCAGTGTGCAGGGGCAGGAGGTCTGTCTGTCTGTCTGACCGACCGGCTCCCGGGAACGGAGATGGAGATCCCCCTCCCAGAGAAAGCTTCGCACCACACCTCCGCGCCACCTCTGATTTCTAAGCAAATCTTAACACTAAAGTCTTAGCAGCGACCCCAGAGCGCCCTGCGAGTCCCCGGGACGCTGGGGCAGAGCTCCTCACGCAGGTGCCCTCGGCAGACCCCCGGCCCACCCTCAGCCACCAGCCCTGCCTCCTCTCAAGCACAGCCACCTTGACACCCCCAGCCCCTCTGACGCTGCCTCCCTCGTCCCCCGCCACAGCAGCCCCAGCGCGAACCGCCACCGCGCCGTCTCCTACCGGTCCCTATCACCACCACATCGAACTCGGAGGGCAGGTTGTCCGCCATCTTGGAAGGCGCTCCGTCACGTGGCCGGCGCTGGCGGAAATGCAGGGAGGTCCGAGGAGAGAGTTCCGGCCGCCGCGCGCGGGGCCCCCCGGGAGATGTAGTTGGGCGCGAACCGGGTTCCGGGCGGTGGCTCCGGGGCCAAGGTCCCTCCTCACAACTCCGCGGTAAGGACGAGGAGGAGCCCGCGCTGCTTCTGCCGCGGCCGGCTCCTCACGGAGCACCTGTGCGGACAGCCCTGGCAGCGCCGTCCAGGCCGTAGGCAGGGCCCGTCACCCCGCCGGGTGCCCCCCGAGCTGTTGCTGACCCGGGGAGCCGGCCCCCGCCGCGGGGAGAGGGGTGCTGTGGGGCACTGCGGCAATGCAGACATGCGCCGAGCATCGGTCCGAAAACTTCCGAAGTACAATAATGCAATTGCATTCCACCTACTTACTGCAAATGCAAAATACTTCAAAGCAAACAGCCCTATTTTTTGTACAATTTATGTGTCGATTCCACTGAAGTTTCTTGGATGACCAGTTCTTCATTATCTCACAACAGATTTAATTGTTGTTATTTCCCCCTGCACGTGCAGTGTTTCCAAAACACTATCGTTTATTTAATCTCATCAATCACTGCACTTTATTATCTAAGAAAATATTTCCCTTATTATTTTTTAAAGTCGCCTTACTCCCCAATGATGGTAATTTCTTTCCTTTATGCACCATGCTGAAGACAGATTTTAAAAGAAAGTGTATTAGTTCATCTATTTCTAGTCAGTAATCTCATGTCCTTCCTTGTTAATTAACAGCCATAGTCTACGTTGGATTGTACTTCGTTTTCTGCATTCAAAAACCGCTCTATTTTTCTCAACCTATCAATTAACATTAACTTTTTCTTTTCCTCTGCAGCCTTAAGTCACACTTCAGTCTCCCTTTGCCTCTTCCTTCACCTTACAAAGAAATGAAGGGGGAATCGGGGGTGAAACCCACAATCCACCATTTCAGAGTAGCCCCTTCTGTGTTACCAGCCTGAGCGAAAGAATAGCGAGAATGAAAACACATATTTGAAAAAGCCAGATAAGCAATGTAGGCAAAATAACCTAGCACAGAATACCTGTGCCAGAATACACAGGAAATTTCTAGAAAGTTTTGCTTTGCATTTTGCATCTAATGGCTTATATGGCTTTAAACTCATCTCTTAATATTATTCATTGTGTATGATTATATTAAAGTCTTAACACCTTAAATCAATAATAACAATAAACCAGCTAGCAGCTTGTTAACACCTTATTACAAGCTCCTTGTTCACATGGCAAAAGTATAGTGAAAATAGTATAAAGTGACTAATGGAAACCAGAGACCACCTTCCCCCCGCGGTACTGCCAGACGTGCTAGAACAGACTACAGCACAGAAAGTAGCCCAGCAGGGAACATCAAACAACACAAGAACAAAAAATATATAGATTTAAACATCAGTACTTGATTACCATGCTAAGAAATGTGTAACAGAAAATTAGTAGTTATGGATTCAGATATAAAAGTAGTATGATCAAATCTTATGTTCCTTATATTTATGCTTTCAGCTGTCCTATAGAGATTTTTTAAAAACTTCCATTCTGCAGGTTCCATAGCGCAATTCTGTTAATAAAGCCGTCATTTCTACTTTTTAACCTGTAACAACACAAGTTTAGCTCCAGAATTCTCACAATGCTGGATCATCCTGACCTAAATGTCTTGATTTGAGGAACAAAGCATGACTATATTAGTTAGATCAGATAAGACAATTTCTCCTTGCACATCCTCTTCTTACTGAGGGAGGGCATACCGATGAAAACATAATTGCATTGTGAAAACCTTTTGTTATTGTTTAGTATAATTCTAGGACTGCACTAGAACAGAGCTATTTCACTGTCAATGTCTTACTGTTTCTCAAGTGCTTAAGTATTTATCCCACCACAAAATGCTGTTGTTTGGTTCTGTGAGTTCCTGTTAGCTTCATTCATAAGATGCAATCAGTGCAATCCTATTTTGTGATGACAGTCATTATCCACTGGACCAGAAATTCTTCTAAGTGCTATTTATTTGACAAAAATGATTATTCAGGATCTTTAACTGCAAGGTTTGTCAGCCCCATACAACACAAAAATATTTCTCTGTACTTTACAGTTTTAAGATCAGCAAATGTAGAAGTAAAATATGTAAGTAATTTTTATGAGAATTTCATGGACCTTGAGAAAATGTCTTACCATGTTTTTCTCTTTAGCTATTTAATTGCAATGTCATAGTAACAGAAAGCAGCATACCCAATTCTGCATGGATGAATAAGCACATTCAATAAAGAAGATTTAACAGAGTAAATCAAACACTGGATTAAACATTTTCTGCATAACAGACCACAAAATGGGCATTCATTTTACCAATAGATCCTCTACATTAGAAACAAATAGAAATGCACACCAACATAATTAAACTGCACATCCTGTGGCCTGATTGCAGAATTTCCCTAGATTTTGTTAAACTAGGTCTCATCAATTAGAATTGCCAAGATGCATTCAAAAATGCACACTGAAAAGACTGAATGTATTTTTAAAACAATTTGTATTAGATACATTTGCTTTTCTATGATTTATGAAATAATTCACAATCCTATATATTGCAGTGGATTCATACAGCATTTTTAGCAATAACAGTTCAGAAAGACACATGCAAAGATAAATTTTAAGATTCCACTTTTAGTAATTCTATTTTTTCTGTAAGCAACTTTTCCTAGTTTGATTTCAAGTAAAACAATTCTCATAAAACCACGAGGTTTGGCTTTATTAATTTTATTTGGGATTTTCACATATTCATAGAACTAACTTCGTTACTTTAAAGTCTGTGTAGTTAATATTTAACTTTATCAAAATACTTTTGGGAAACTCCATAAACTATGTAAGTGTTTTGATTTTCCCAAGTAGCCACTGAAGTGCAAGAGAAAATCAGGGCAAATCAGTGTTTGAATTATGGAGTTTCTAGTTATCTCAAGATCTAGTCTCAGATCATTTGATGAACTATTTCTTCCTCCAAAAACAAACCGCAAATACTTCATATTCACTATGATGATTTTTTTTTTTAAGTTATGTAGTATCTTTATCCTGCAGTGACTTCACGTGTGAAATCTCATTATTCATTCTATTATTCACTCAATGGATACAGAATTTAATTCTACTTGAGTACCAGTTTGAATAAGGATCAGCAGCAGGATCGGGCCTATTAGCTGCTTGAAACATCTATTGAATAACCTGATTTATCCCAACTAAATGGCTCATTAGTTCAGGCAGCAAGAAAACATTTGTGTGTTGCTGAAACTATGCATGGTTGTCATATAGAGTTTGCTGTTATGCAACTGTCAGTCACTCAAGCATGCACAAACTAGATTGTTCATTAACTACAGAAACAGCCACTCTACACTCAAACATGTTTGGGAAAAAATATTTGTTTCCAAATTTCTTCTAAACTCTGATACACCTTTATTCTAACTTCTTCTTTGTTACTACTATCTGATAGTTACTTCTATCTTGCAATGGTCAGTCCCAACCATACCCATAAAACACGTGACTTGTGTTTTATTGGTGGCATTAGACCCTAAACTGCAAATTCTCAATTGTATGTATACATTTAATTCCCATGAATAGTATGAATGTTTGAATGTTCCTTTGATACAGTAATCTTGCCCTTGGTAGATCAGTGCACTAAACATATTAAAAAAAAAAAAAAACAAACCACAGTAATTAAATCCACATTCTCTACCTAAGGAGCACTGAAACTAATGTGGAAGTTGCCCTTTTGATTACTGAGATGTGAGTAAATTATAGGATTGTTTAGAGAGATGGGAAAGAATGGGAAATTTCACTTTGTTTCTATAAGCACGCAATGCAAGTTAATTAATGACATTCTGCAAAAAATCTGTAGGTCTCTCATTGCAGTCAAAACTTTCTGGTACAAAATGAGCACAAGGAGAAAAAACCCAGGATCATAGCTTTCATCAGGCTGCTCTGCCCAGTGTAACTGGACGAATATGGAAAGAAGGCTGCACTACGGCTTCATTAAAGATTACTTATTAGTTTTATAGACTTCCTAACACTACAGATGTGCAGGATGAAGGAGACAGTCTTTGCAGAAGCCCAAAAGTTCAGTTATTTTTTATGCTACAGGCTAATCTTTAATGCTTAAAATAGCTGATGAACCTAGGGTGATGACTAATATGCTGAAGTTGTTATTGCTTGTCTCTTAGAGACATGTGGAGGAAAACCTACTTTAGGAATTGGAAACCTGGAGAATTACCGGTAGTCGAACCAGACTGTATCTTGATTTACTTTGACCTAAACCCATGATATTAGTGCATTATATGCAATACATGGTGGCAGTTCAGTTTTTTAAGTGATTAGATTACTTCTCTCAGTGCTCTGTAACCGTGGCTAAAATAATTTGGCATAGCACATGAGGTATTATTGCTGCATCTTCTTTTGTAGCAGGGTTGGGTGTTTTTTGGCAGCTTTTAGGCTTGTTTGTAAAACAGCCTTTTGCCTTCCTAATTTTCATTCTGTATCTTTTTTTTCTTTATTAAAAAAAAAGTGTACTTTTTAGGAATACTGAAATAGAGACAGAATTATGTAAATTATTTGTGAAACTGAAGTAATGTCAATATAATTAAACAAAGGACTAAATTTTCTTTATACATGTTCAGAAAAAAACAATCTGGAGTTTGTGACTATGTTTTGGGTTTGATACGCTGTAAATTCTTAAAGGAATGTGTTCCTTTTCAGAAGTTTCCCTCACTTCCCCAGTGGACTGAAATGTGCTCTTTACTGTACCTAAGAGGTCCTTGAAAAGACAAAGCAGAATTTCTTCTGGCAGAAGTTTGCACATCACTTTTTAACACTTTTTATTTCAGACTTTACACCCTGTATGGTTTACCAGCTCTTCCTATTTGAATGAATAAAAAAAATATGTAACTTATCATGGTGTCATCAGTTTGTAAATGAAAATTTAAATGGTTCTTCAAAGTATTCCCAAA